CCAAGAAGCTTATAGCATTTATCCTTCATAAGTCTAGGTATATGACAATAATCACAAATTGCATTTTTTCTATAAGTGACCAATTTCATTTATCAATAAACTACTTTGTTTGAGATTGAGGTCCGATAAAATAAAAAACAACATGAGATCCTGAATGTGTATTGATGCCTCTTGAGATTCTTTATTAGAAACCATAGAGTATGTTTGAGAATGAGTAGGCATAGGTTGCACTAACAAAATTTGAGGCCTTGCTAGTTAAAATTGATCATTCAAACCCATTAAGAACCACATCACTTTATGTTGTTGTGTATATTCGATAAAAGGTTATGAGACCTCACTTTTGTAGGTAGGACACATACAAGCTAATATAGGAATTAAAGAATATAATTGATCCCAAAGATGTCTCAATTTAGAGTAATAAACTATTACACTTATCGGATCCTTGAACCGATAAATTAATTTCTTTATGCATAAACAAAATTCAATAATCAAGCATGAACTAAAGCATCACATTTTCCATCATGCATAATTTGGTGAATCAATACCTAGTCTTGAACACTTTTCATTAACAAAGCCATCCTTGCTTTTTTGCTTCCAAAAAGATCAACATTGCTTTACTCCATGAATTATAATCTTCTTCCCCTTGGAGTAGATGTGTAACAAAAATCAAATATGCTTATAAGAATGATAAAGATATAAAAGATCATTCACATCTTTAATTGAAATGGTAAAGCATGAAGAACTAGGAATCGTAGTTTGATTTTCCATGATTTTCAAGGAAAATGTGTTTTTGTTGAGAAAAAAAATAGAATTTGCAAATCACATAGATTGAATTGAAATATCTCAAAATGAGATACTAAAACGAGATAATGAAGATAATGATCTTAAGAAAGAAACACAAGATCTTTCAAATAAACGAGATCAAAATCAAAGATTTAAGTAGCAAAGAAAACTAGCGAGCCAATTAGAGAAAAACCGGCTACGATATCGTGTTAAGAAAAAGAATGAAAAAGAAAATGTTTTCTAGAGAGGGAGTTTCGACTATTCATTTTCCCAATTTGTTACAACTAAACTTTATATACTCTCTAGTTAATATCCTTTACATCTCAACTAACAAACTCCTACAAAAATCAATTATATTACTTGACTAACTAACTAACTATAAAGTTATAAATTCCATTTTAATAGAGGGAGAATGCCTTTCTTGAACACAAAAATCGATGTCATTGGCATACATGTGTTCAAATTAATTAGGAGAGTTGTTTGATGGTGGTGGTAAGTTCCGATATGGTTGGAAAAAAGAAATCTAAACCCATAAAGACAACATGTCAACAAATTAAGAATTAACACAAGTTTAACTAAAAGAGGATGATGTTTTATTATTCATACAATATTCGCCTAGAAACAAATAACTATTCATTCATTATGGCATTTAAGATGTTTTTATTGGTTTTGTAAGTTTTTTATTAAATGACATTTTTTTTAAATATATTTTGTATCAATTTTAGGGGTTTTTATTTGTTGATATTCTAGAGTTTTAGATTCATTTTAACGATTTTTATTTGTTGTTGTATTTCGTGTTTACAATTTAATCTTTATTTTCATAACATTTATGCTTAAGTGATAATATTTCATTAGATTTGCATTTTGGTCTTTAATAACCGAGAGAGGAGAGAATTCAGGAGAGATGATGATGTCTTTTCCAATCACAAAATTGATTTCATTGGTATGCTTGTATTATATTAGGTAGGAGAGTTGTTTGATGATGGTAGTGATTCCTCACATGATTGTAAAAGGAAGATGTACTCTAAAAAGATTACACATTATTGTTTAGGTTTTTTTTTTTAAATTGTTAAAAAAGGGTTTAATGGCAAATTTTGCCCTGTTCTTTTTTGATTTGGTAGTTTCGGGCATTTAGTACCAAATTGGGCAATTTGATCCTCAAACTATTGATTTTTTGACAAAATTGATCTAATATCGCTAATTGTTTGACCAGTTACTTGAAATGTCAAAACGATATCGTTTTGGCATTCCATCGTTAATTATTTTTAAAAAAACATTTTAAAAATATTTTTATTCCCTTGATGTTGAACTTTTTTTTCTCATAAAAAATATTTTATAAATATTTTTAACCCCTAATTTTGAAATTTTTTTAAAAATATTAAAAATATTTTATAAAAAATATTTTTTTCTTATAATTTATAAAATTAGGGGGTCAACCTTAATATGCTCATTTTAATTTATACTATAAACATTTTAATTCTCATTGGATATTGTAAATATTTTATAAAAATGTTATAAAAAAACATAATTAATAATAACTCATTTCGAGGCCTTGAAAAAACATTTTATAAATTAAAATGAGCATAATTAATGGTTAACAACTCTAATTTTATAAATTATATATGAATTTTTTTTTGATAAAATGTTTATAATATTTTATAAAAACAATTTTTAGAAAAATTCAAAATTAGGGGGTTAAAAATATTTATAAAATGTTTATAATATTTTATAAGATTTTTTTTTAATTTCAAATCTTGCAATTTAGTATTAAATGCCTGAAATTATCAAATCGTAATAAAATAAAAATAAAATTTGCTATTAAACCGTTAAAAAGGCAAAGCGCTCGAGCTTCTTCTACCAAGTCCAAGAACACATGAGTGTGGTTATTGGTACTTGGTCCCCCCCCCCCCCCCCCCCCCCCAAAAAAAAATCAAAATTTGATTTCTCTTACAATCCAACAATTAAAAAATAGTTTTTTTTTTAAAAAAAAAAACTCATACAACAATTATATTTTTCCAATAAGATTATAGTATTTTGATACTAATATATGCACACTATTTTATGAAAAAAATATTTTTTTCTTCAATTTAATATATTATTTTTGATGAATTTCTAAATTAAAGAACTAAAAAGATATCGTTATGTAAGAAAATTTATATCATGTAACTTCAACATATGTATTTGAAGTTAAATATTTGTAAATATTGTCATATTTTAAAATTTTTCAAAGATGGCCAACCTATGCACAACAATTTAATTATTTGACTATTGCATGAAATTTTTATTTTAATATCCGAATCTTATTATTCTTTTGTTTGATTTTAAATATAATTGAATTAAATATTAGAAAATACGTAAATATATTATTAATTACAAATGAAATGAAAACTTATTATAGATGATAAGCATTTGACATATTTTTTTATAGTAAAAAAATATATTGAATAAATAAATTACTAGTTAAGAATTATTTGTTGTTCATTTTTTAACTCCTCCTACAATCCATATGGAAAAAAAGAAAAATAAAAAACTCAAAAGGCTATGGATTCTATAACATACGATTTATTGGCTTCTCTCTCTCTTTTAAACTTTTTGTTACTTGTTTATCAATTTCTATTCAAATAGAATTATTAATATTTTGAAAACACACATAAAAAATACCATTTTTTCAAATAAGATTAGAGATTTTTGCAAATAATATCTATAATTATTTAATACGAACTCAATGTATGTAAATTTTAAAAAATAGAATCCATAAATAATTAATTATCTCATTAATATTCTATAAAAGAAAAATGATTATTTTTCTACAATTTTTAAAATTAATCATTATTTTATTTTTCTCATGCGTTTTGATTTTGATCAAAAGTAACTCTCGAAATTATAATATTTTTATTGAAAAACAAAAATTTAAGGGTTAACACCCTCACATATCTTTATATGATAGGTCGATTCTTCAATATGTCTCTAACGAGAAAAAATACCTTCAATTTATCCTTATATTTTGAGTTTGTTTTTAATCTATTTTTCTTATCAAAATTTCTGATCAATTTTCAGAAATTAATTTTTCAATTAATAGATATAGATCACTTATGTCAAATAATAAAAATAATTTTATCGAATTATATACCACATGCAAATCACATGCTTAATTTGACATAATTTAGCAAAAAATTATAACTAAAAGGATAGATTAAAAACCGTCTCAAAATATAAACAAAAATTATAGGTATTTTATTTTTTAGAAATATATTGAAAATCTACCTATTGTATAAGGATATATAAAGGTATTAACTCAAAATTTAATGACAAATAAATCATGCGTTTCTAAAAAGAAAATTTTATGAAAAGTACAGGTAGATTAATTAGATACAAAATTATAAAATTACAAAAAAAAAAATTGAATTATTAAGTTTATTTTTAATTTTTTATTTAATAAAATAAAATATTAAGACACACATAAATATGTTATTAATTAAAAAAAGCTTATTATTAATAATAAGAATTTTATAATTACTATTTTTTAAGTGGAAAGATAATAAGAAATAAATTTGAAAAAAAAATGATGAGTTAATTTTTTTTATTTTAATCTTCATATTTTTCTTTTCTTTTTTTTTTAGATTTTGTTTATTTAAATTTGAAAAAAAATAACAAGATTAAGAAAAAACTAAGAAGAATACATGGACGGAATTCAGATAAAAAAAACAAATTAAGGCTATTAATCTAAAAGTTAACAGAATGACGACATTAAAATAAATATAAAAAATAGAAGGATAAAGATAAGATGAAAAGAATAAAGAAACAATATAAAGATGAAAAAACGAGAGAGAGAGATCCTGTAACCATTAACCCAATTTAATTTCAATTTATTTAAATTTTATTATGATTTTATTTTAAATTAAATTAAATAAAATAAATTTTGTTATCAGACCGTTGGCAGCACGCGGATCGTCAAACTAGGACTTATCTAAGAAAAGATGGAGCAGATTGTTTTGGGTTCAGAAAGAAATGAACGGCCAGGATCCCTTGCATTCATAGACCGACGACGCCATAACTTCGCTGGCTCTTCCCCGAATAAATCCAAATTCAAAAAACAAAATTGGAGGGAAAAATACCAATCTCAAACTTTTTACTCTATCTTTTTTTTTTTTTAAAAAAAGTAATCAATCAGTTAGTATCTTTTTAGTGCTGAATTGAATTGGAAGGGAAAAGAAAAAATGGGAGAAATTCTAAGCCCTAAGCAGAGGCTCCCTAGGATTCAATCCCCAACTTCACCTTTCTTCTTAGGCTCCAATGACGACAAGCTCGAGCGTGCTCAGGCGCGTGCTGCCCGCGCTGCCGCTATCCGCCGCAAGCCCATCGCCGCTCACTCTCAGCCACCGCCTTTCCAAGATCCAGATCTCTGCCTCGACAAGCAGCAGATCCTCGACCTCTTCCATAATTGCATCAAACTCGCCAGCGAAAATGTCCGTCCGTTCGTCCGTCCCTTTTCTTTTTCTGTGACAAATATTTCTCAATGTAATTATTATTTTCCATTTTTGGTGTTTTGGGGCAGAAAATAAATCAAAAAAACACATGGGAGTTGAGTTTGATAGACCATCTAGCCGAGATTATCAAGGTAGAAGAAGAAAATGACGCTGAGACCAATTTTCAAAAGGTAAAATATTAGTTTCCCTTTCTTTAAAAAGAATTATTTATTTTTACGCATAATGGAGCAAAAGGATGCATATGGCTTGGCTGTAGTCGTAGTTGTATTTATTTATCTTCTGTGCAAAATATGAAAACAATTTGACTGTAATGAATTTGTTTTCTGGGGTTTGGGAATTTGTGCAGGCGAGTTGCACCTTAGAAGCTGGTGTTAAAATCTACTCATTAAGGGTTGATTCTGTGCATTCAGAGGCATATAAGGTGCTTGGTGGGATTAATAGAGCTGGTCTTGAAGATGAAGCAGGTTGGGGTTTCTTAGCCCACTACATTATTCATCTCACAATTTAATGAGTAGGGCAAAATTAGACATTAATAGGATACATGTTAGCGTTACCGGGTTATGAATATAATTATAAAAAATTGTGTTATTTATGCTGCTGCATAATTGTTCATGATCTTTTTATGTTTGTTGATGACTTTGATGTTGTCTGATGTGACTGAAGGTACTGTGGAGGGTGTTAATGCTGATAATGGACAAGAGGAAAGCCATTCAAAAAAAGAGACGGAGAAAAAGGTTGATAGTTTCCTGATTTACAGACTTAGATCGAATATATGAACAAATAGAAACTAAAAGTGTCGAATATATGAACAAATAGAAACTGACAGTGTCTTTACATGTAGATATCACCTTTGTCCACATTGGAACCTTCTTTCGAGGCTCTTAATGTTAAGAAGTTTGATGGTGAGCGATCACCTATGAAATGCTATGTCTCTGTTTTTTGGTGTGGGATTTAAAATTCTGTTTATGATGGAAATGGGATTTCATTTTCTTTTCAGTTGCATTTGCTGTGGATCCACTGTATCATCAGACATCTGCACAATTTGATGAAGGTGGAGCCAAGGGTCTTTTATTGAACAATCTTGGAGTGTATGGTGGATGTCGAGTGCTTTTCGATTCACAAGAAGTACCAGGGAAGTGCGCATCATGTGAAAATCAGCGTGAAAGGCTTGATACAGTTGATCTTTCTTTTGCTAGAGGTGCGGTGGTTGCTTTTAGTTGATATGGTGTTTCTGGTTGCTGTTTTGTCTTCTTGCATTCAACGATCAAGTACTTGTTTCAGTCAATAAGTTCCAGTTTCTTGTTCACTTTCCAGATTACATTGAACAGATGGTAATGAACATGCGGACAAAGGATGAAATTTCACCAACTCTTAGGAATATAGTCAATCAATTTGACGAAGACAACCAACGGTCATTAAATTCTTTTCCATCTCACCAGACATCCGGTGACCAATTTGATAAAGATGATATAACTTATAATAATGGAGTCGAGTTCGATGGTGAGACATATGAGAATTGTGGGCCCTGGAATGTAGATCAAGATGACCAAAGAAGTGTGATTGATGAGGAACCCATTGTTGCAGATACAACTTTTGCAAGTTATCCTGAGGTTTAAGCTATACACCACTCATGGAAGTAGTTTTTCCCATTGCATTTATATCTTTGATTTTTCTCTTCATTCCTCTAAAAAATAAATGAAGTTGCCAACTAGTTGTGATCAATTTTTGTAGGAAAAAGAGCCATATTTATTTGACAACCCAGATATGGATGACAGATTTAAGGAAGTTGATGCACATTTGTTTTTGAGTTTGGGATTTGCATCGAAACGAAATGATTGGGCAGGTCCTGATCATTGGAAATATCGGAAAGTTAAAGGTAAATATTTTTGGCCAGTGCATGTGATATCATCAGCATTTTGTACCAGTAGTCCACTTCGTGAATTGTAATCTGGAAGTTGTTCTATGGGCGCAGAGGATCATTCCATTACAGAAAAAGGATCACCAGTAAGAACTAAGAGACCAAAGACTAAGAAGAAAGCAGAACTTGATATTGATTTCACAAAAGCCTTGGATGAAGAAATGCCTGATGTCTTTGCTCCTCCCAAAAATGCAAAGTCGTTACTTCTGCCTGCAAATAGACCACAGTGTAATACAACATTGCCAGAAGATTGCCATTATCAGCCTGAGGATCTTGCTAAATTGTTCCTTCTACCTAATTTAATGGTAATACTTATTAAATAATTTTTGGATTGTTTGCTAATGCTATCGAAACATTATTTGCATTTTTTTTGGTTAATGAAAGACTTGTCCTGGTTGCAGTGCCTTGGGAAGAGAAGAAAAATGTTTTCAGGTAATTATTTTTTCCTCAGACATGCTACACTATTTTCGTCAATATCCCAGTAGTACACAATTTATTTGTATTTTACTTCCTGTTGCTCTGACAAATTCAACAATTTCTGCATACCTATCTTTGTCAGTTACATAATACTAAAATCCAACGTAATAAACCTCCAGTGCTTTGCTGCATGTTTTAATAAATTTGTATGTTCTTTGGCATTAATTCATTTCTTAAATGTTTCAGAGCTGTAGTTATCGTTACAATTGGATCTGGATTTGGAAGTTTGAATTATTTTTTTCTTTGCTTTTGATTTGGATCGATCATTTCAATAACCTGTTGATCAATCTCAAATTGTAGAAATTGTTCCTGTTCCTCATTCCTAGAAAAGCTTATCCATGTTCTGCATTAATAATACACATGGATGTATCTATTTTCTAGTACCTCATTAGTTATTAAGTTAAATAGGAGCCAAAATGCTATAACTTGGACAAAAGACCTGACCAAACTAGAATATTAAGCGGTGGGTGTAATCCTTTGCAAATGACTTAAATATGTGATGGGGCATAGTAAGTGGCAGAGGGCTTTGCTACCATGGCTCACTGAGTTACAACCCATTGCTGGTCCGATTTGTCATTAAAGAAAATCAAAGAACAAAACAAAAAAACATGATATTTTTCCTTTCCCGGCTCATTTTTTTCCTGCTATCTGAGATAATTTGATTGTAATTGAAAGTTAGATAGCCGAAAGAGGGAAATATATGAGTAAGTTCTGCAAATGTGAAGAAAAAGCTTATAACTTTAAGAAGACAACAGTTATGAAGATGCAACATAAACTCCAGAGTCAACTGAAAGCAACTTCTTTTGCTTAGATTACGCCCTTTAATAGTTCAGATAGGTTTCATTTGCATTTTTTTTTTTGGCCAAGATATGCTTGTTTTATTCCAGTTTCTACCTAGTACGAGGTATCTCTCACTATAGGTTTCATCGAATATATGGTGCAACGGGAAATTTCACTCGGCCGTCCCAAATAATTATTAGCTTGTTATTGTGATAACAATCATTCATTTCTTGCAAACTTCATCTAGTTCCATGAAATCATGTAGTATTTATTGTATAAAATGTCTGCATTCTCTATAAAACACGTGTAGAGTTCCAACTCTGGTTATATGTTGAAATATTTTAGATGACATGAGGCAACAGTCAGATGATTGTGGACCACTGCCATCATGGGATGGTGAAAGTGCCTTTGCTGGTCAATTTGATGATGGAGATGCCTACAGTGACGTGGATGAACCCAGCATCCTTGTTTCTCAGCCCCGCCAGGTTGGTCCATGATCTAATTCTAGAGTATGCTTGATTGAGTTCCTGCATACTTATATTATTTATGAGCCTGAAGTTAAACAGTAAGGAGGCCTATTAGTTAGAACAAGACCTAATTTCTGCCTTTCAATTATATGATGCTTTTGTGCGGTTTGGTATATTTGGAAAAGGCAAAACTTAGAAGGCTTGGAAGTTTAGCATATGGTCAGTATGCCACTTCAAGTGCTAAGCCAAATGCTGGAAAAGATCACGCCATGTACTTATTCTTTATTTCCTATGTGTAAACAATCCAGGTAAATAAAATTGAAGTCCAGTATGACAAGGCTTCTAAGCAAGTTGATGTCCAGACACTAAAGGAAACTCTCTGGCACCAGTTACAAGAATCTCCTCAAATGCCTGTTCAGGTTTGCTAATAACTTTTGCCTTTTTTCTCCTTGTAATTTTTTTTCTGTCTTGATTTCTTGAAGAAAGTAGGAGCTGGAGCAGGACTCAATCCTAGGTAACTTGTACATTTTCAAAAGATTGAATCAGTGAAGCTAGAACCACTGTATAGAATTGCTATCTACTATTTTATAGTGTTCACTGCCGTTTCCTGCTACGAAAGACTTGTCAGTCGAACCTTACAAGCATTCATAAAATTTTGAAATTTGAGTTAGCATAGTTGTTTGGGAAGAAACCATCTAGGGCAGCTTTTCCCTTTCTGCAGATGGAGTTGTCATTGCTATCACCAACATCATTTTACAGAAGTATAGAAAACAAAGGGCTTCAGATAAAATAAAAAACTGAAGAATGTAGTTCTGAAATGATAAGGAGGATAAAAAACAAAGAGATGTCACCCTTTTGTGTTTAAAAATTCTTCAATAAGATGTACAAGTATTGCCAAGTCTTCAAAGCTTGATTAAACCCTCTATAAGTATGCATAAAGAAGGTTAGACAGTAGCTTATGCCAAGGATATGCATGTCCTTTCTCTTTCTTTGGTTATGGACTGAACTGACAAAACTCATTCCGGATGATTCATATGACTTATGTTGTTCATTGATAACATGGTTCTAATTGAATTATTGCTGGGGAAAACTAAAGAGTTATGGACAATTACCCTAGAATGCAAGGTTCTAGGTTAAGAAGTATTAGAATGATATACTTGCGTTGCAACATCAGTTACACGAAGAATGAACTATGAAGATGGTTTAGTTGTAGATTGATGTGATAGAGCATGTCTGAGGGTTATTTCTTGTACTTAGGTTCTATCATACAAAAAGGGGGCTGTTGAGAAAGATATTACTCATCAAATAGATGTAAGGTTGTTGAAATGAGAAGTGCAGCTAAAAAGGCTATGCTAAGTAAGGTGCTCTTGATGACGAACAAGGAAGAGGGAATTGAAGGAGGGGATAAAACCTAGAATCCACTTGGCAATCTTTGAAACCATAAGGGGGTTTATTTGAATCCGCCTAAATTTTCTTGAGATCCACAAAAACAAAAAACCATGCAAAATAGCAAATTCTCAAATTTTATCTTCGAAGTTAAGTTCCAGAAGACAATATTTTAAATCCAAACTAAAGCAAAGTAGGAAATAGAATCCCTAGCAAATTAAAATAATAAAATTCCCCGACATCCTTAAATGTAAGTAATAGGAACTAATAAAGCTTAAGGTGTTGTTTGGTAATCAGAAATAGAGTGATGAGAATAAGAATGTAGGAATCGGAATAAAAATTAGGAAATCGTAAAGATGTTTGTATTTTTATGCTGTGTTTGGAATACGAATAAGGAATTAGAATGCAATTTAAATTTTTTCATATCTGTTTTTTATACAAATAAAAATAATGATTTAAAAATAATTTTATTAAATTATAATGGTTGTAAAAATAATAAAGATGATGGTAGTGATTATAGTTATAACGGTGATGGTTCTAGTGGTGGTGGTTATGATGTTGATAGTAATAGTTGTTGTGGTGGTGATGGTGGTGGTTGTAGTGGTGGTGGTGATGATGGTATTGGTAGTAGTGGTTGCGGTGGTAGCGATGGTAATAAAAGTAATTAATATATAATAAAATATATTATTATTAAAATAAAATTCATTCTCATTTTTTGTTTTTATTCTCACATCTTATGTGGGATTGAAGTTGTGTGTAAATTTTCATTCCTATTTTTACTCTTCATTTCCATTTTCAATTCATTGTTTTTAACCAAACAACTATAATGTAGGAATAAAACTTCCATTACCATTCTCATCATTTTATTCCTAATTACCAAATAGCACTTAACTACTTTGGTCAGAAAAAGCTCATTCTTTGAAGTCACCGTAACCAAATAAAGAATGTTAAGGTAGTAGAGGTATGAAATACAATAATCATACAACGAATAAAAACGTTTATCAGTTCTTAAGAGGGGGGGGGGATTCTAACTTGGAATCAATTTATCATGTGTGATTGGATTGACCTTGTAAGAGCAGAAAAGGGGAGAGGTAGGGGAAAAGGTGAGTTAATTTAGCATTTACAAAGGATTGACTATCATAACAACTTGTATAATGTTATCCTAACATGGAGAAGATTTGCGTAACTGATATAACTAATTTGGAACTGACTACTCAGAGTTGGGTTGAGTATGCAATTTTCACATTTTTGGGTCATTGCATGTATCTATCAAATAAATACGAAGTCATCAGCATTCTTCTCTCGTCGGCCTTCAATTTACTCTGTTGTCATGTAAGATATTGAAGGCAATGCAACCAATTTTCTTCATCCGTCATGGTTTTAGAGAAGTTTATCAAGGTAACCTTCATGGAAATGATTTCTTTTGATATTTCTGCAGGATCAAGAAGAGGCAGTGTCTTTCAAGGATCTCTTGGCTAGGTTTCCTAGTGATTGCGGAGCTGCTGCAACTATCAAGGACATTTCTCCTCATTTGTGTTTCATATGCCTATTACATTTGGCTAATGAACATGGCTTGAGCATCCGTGGTTGTGCTAGCTTAAATGATCTCAGCATACATCTCCCTCAGTAAAAAAAACTTTTCCTTATTCATGTGCATCTACAGACTTATTATCACTGTTTATTGAAGCCAGATTTTTTTTTTAAGCTTTTCCCTATTCATGTGCTGTAGCTGTAGACTTATTATCACTGTTTATATAAGCCAGATTTTTTTTTCTTTCTTTCTCGGACAGTTATTAGTTAATTGCCGCGTTATGCGGTAGATTGGATAGAAACGGATGAAATTAATTTAAAAAATTATTTTAACTTGATAGTTTGCATTATATCATGGGTTTATTAAAATAAATTAAATCAAAAATACAAAAAAGATAGCAAATTTTTAAAAACATTAATAAATTTTGTAATTAATTTATTTTTTTTTATAGTTTTCATAAATTTTGTAGTTAAAAAACATGATTTTTTTATATATTAATTTTTAAAATAAAAAATATAATAATTTAAATAGAAAATTTAATATAACATTTTAAAAAAACTTCAATTTTTTTATATATAATATTGTATCAAAAAATAAAACAATAATTGATATAAAAATCTTTATAAATATTCATAGATGAATTTTTAGTCTTGAGAAGATTAGTTTTTTTAAAAGTATAAATATTAGAGAAGTAACGGACAGAGCAAATCAAAATACGCTCCTGCAGAAAATAGATCATATAAATCAATGGTTCACTGGGCCTTTAAGTTAGGCAATTCTCTACATCAAATGTTGGAGGGGAGGCAAAAAAGAAACCAAAACCCAATCCTTGCATCAGCATCATCATGCAGCATTAAATGCCGTGGAAAAGGAGAAGAAACTGATCAAAAGGGACAAACAGGATAGAAATGAAAGGAAACAAATGGAGGGGTAAATAGGTAACATGACATAAGGACAATTGGCATAAAAGAAAATTGACTCAAAACATGAGGGTGAAAGAAAAGTCAACTTGCTGGGCACAAATTCTAAGTAAGAAATGAAAAGGAGAGTAAATGAAAAATAACATTTTAAAACATATTAAAAAGAGACGTTGGAGAATCATGCGGCTTCAAGCAACGTGAGCCACACACAACATCGAATGAACGATCAAGATGCATGCAAAGAAAATAAACAGTGCAGCTGAGTGAAAATACGTAGTTGCTTGAGTTTGTGTGAACAGTCAGGAACAGGAATATCTCCGCCCATTTTAGAGTTTTTTGTAATGTGCAAAACACCTTTTTATGCTTTGGCCCTTGTGTTTTTGAACTTTTTGTTTGATCTAGGATTTTTATTTGGGCTGGTCAGGACCAAGGGCTGGAGAAGCAATCCCAAGCGTGGCTGGCCTCGCTAGTAGCTTGTGGAAGCAAGTCCAAGGGCACAGGGCTTGGCTCCCTCACAGGCCTGACCAAACAAGCCCAGGTGGGGTGGCCTGGCCTTGCGTGAGCTTGCATAAGCAGACCTAAGTGCGCTGGCTTTTTGTTTAAAAAAAAAATTGGACGTGAAATTAATAAAAACCATATCTTTATTTTTTCAGTTTTAGGTATAGTTTGACTAGAAATATACATGATATGTTTTAAGATTTTTAAGTTGAATATATATATTAGATTATATTATTTTTATTGTTTAAAATTTATTTTTTTATTTTTGATATATATATATATATATATATATATATATATATATATATATATGTATATATATATATGAATTTTGAAATAAAATTTTAAAATATGATTATTTTATATTTTTAATATATTACTATAATTTTATACAATGGATTTTTAAATGAGAGTAATATAGTGTGTGTGTGTCTATATATATATAAAGCTAAAAGTGTGTTTTAGATAATGTGACTTAATTTTTTCAAATAATCAATTAAAAAATAGAATTAATGAGTTTTATTTGCTTCTTTTTTATATATAAAATCAAAATTTATCAGAACTAATTTTATAGTAGTTTTTATTTCAATTTATTGACTTTAATATATTTCATATAATTTAAGTGATTTTATATATATATATATATATATATATATATATATATATATATATATATATATATATTTTTTTTTTTTTTAATTTTGCTAATTATGATTATAACGGGAAAAAACCTCCTGATTACTATATTACTCCAGAGGCTTGACTGGTGCCTTAATTTTGGAGGGGTTTCGGGCCAGAATTCAAGCTCTCTGTTTTGGATGGGAAGAGTTGTGAGCAAAAGCATGTCATTCCAATCAAGCTTCTATTCTTTTGAGGCTACCAGTATTTGGCCATATCCTTCAAAACGACTCGGTTTTTGTTTCCACGTGTTCTTTTCTATCAACAAAAGTTGAAAGAATTCCAGAACTTCCTTGCTTGTGTTTCTTAGTATTTCATCCGACATTCCATGGTTTATCAACTGCAAAATTCCACAAAAAAATTTCTTTCATAAAAGACTGTATTTTAGAAGCAACAACACAATTATTCAAACACAAACAAGAAGAAGAACCCATAGATCAAAGAATTGCAACATAAATAACGCACCTATTTAAAAGTGTTAAAATAGAGGAATGAGATATAGCAGCATAGAGAAGCACAGAGAAGAGAAATGTATTTGCATTGATGATTCAAAAATCATGCCTTACAATTCTGGTGAGTTTCTCTTTAAATACAACAGTGTATGTTCTAGAATATTTACAATAAGAAAATTAAATAACAAACTATCTAACTGCATCATTCCTTGCGTGCTCATCATCGGTTGATGCAGGTCTCTGACATGAAGAATCTTCCCAGCTCCCAGCTTCTTGGATCAGTTGATAACTGGCACTCTTCAGGTCTGTGTGGGTCAGTCAATACAACAAACACCTGGTGTGCATGGTGCGTATAAATAACTCTGCTCTCAATTCATTCTGTTACTATTCCATGCATATCACCATGCATATTTCCCACAAGCACACATTGCACATGCACATTTCAACAAAAAGTAAATTGAAAACCCACCTTAAAATTGCTACACGATAACTAAAGAATAAAATTGAACAAAAAAAATGATGATACCTGAAATATACCCTAGTCTTTGCATGCGGAATGCAGTTTCTGAAGCTCTATTTCTTGGAACTCTGGGTTGGCCAGCTTGCTCATGTCTATCAACGGCACAGGAAGAGAGTTACCGGAGGGAACGGTGTTGATGACTCCGCACACGTCGTCTCTAATAAAAAGAGGTGGCACTGTTTCAAGCTGTTGGTTTGAAATCTCCTGCACATTGATTTGGAAGCGGGAGAGTCCATTCAAATTATTTCGTGCTGCTGTTTTTTTTTTTCCCAAAGTAGCTGATATCGTGAATATGGAATTTGTTGTCTTCGTCTCTCTCTATCTCTCTCACAAAACCCTATCTCTGTCTCTATTTCTCCCTCTCCATCTCTGTATCTCTCTCTTTCTATCTCTCTTTCTCTATGTATCTCTGTCTCTCCCTCCCTCTGTGTATCTCAGTTGATGAAGAACAAAGGAAGACAATTTGAAATTTTATAATACTCTTAAGGAAAAATTACAAATTACTATATGGAACATTTTTCAAGAAAAAGATAAACACATAGAAGAGAAAGAAATAAACGAAAAAAATTTTAAAATAATTAAATCAAGATGAAATTTTTTTTTATCAGTTTAGATATGGTTCTATTTTTGCTCAATTTTTTTTTTAAATTTTCCCTTTTCTATTTTTTTTCTCTTTGTATATATTTCTCACCTAAAAAGTAAACTCACAAAATAACAACTATATATGTATAATCAATAGCGAACGCAGGACTAAATATCCATGAAGATCAAAATAAATATTTATAATTCTATAATAGTTTACACAAACTTATTTATATTATAAATAACATATCAATATATATTTTAAAATAGTCTTAAAATATAATCACTTAAAATAAAAATCTTTATTCTTTGAGATCAAGAGAATAATTTATAAGCAAACCTATACTAAAATTTTTAGCAATTTCTTTTTCAATATATACTAACATAGAATTGAAAAGAATGTCATCTTTCATTTTATTACGAAATTTAGTCGTGATTATACTCATAGTAAAAAATGACCGTTACGTGGTAGCAAGTAGAAACTAAAGAGTAAGAATAAGTGTTATCACTTTATACACAAGTGGATAACTTTTAAATTTTCTTACCTTCATCAATCATTGACACAAAAATCAGATATAGTTGATAATGTTTTGAAATAAAAAAGATTTCGTAAATGATCAAAATGCTCAAATTACAACATTTTATGATCAATAAAGTCTTGAGGATAAAATTTTTACACCAATTTACAAATGACATCAATTCTAAATGATATGCGCATTTCTCTAGATAATTTTTATGTGCTAAATGAATATTTTATATGTTTCTTGATGGATGAATAGTAACTTTTTATGCAAAATAAATATCTTGAGTATTTTAAATGTGCATGAAAAATGTTATATTTGCATAGAATATTTGCTTGAGGGTGTTAGATTATTCTATGCCATTGGGTGAATTTTCTGATGTTTAGTGAATATTTTCGATGCATGAATAGTGTTTTTTTGTGCAAATTAATTATTTTGAGTGTTTTAAATATGTTTAAAAATTATCCAATGGGTATAGAAAAATCATTAAGGATGTGTAAGAATATTTTATGAACTTAGGTGAATTTTGAAGCATTCTCAAAAAAAAAAAAAAATCAATTAAAACATAAATTAGGATAGTATCATATTGAAAATAGAATTGTGACAAAATTAAAAAGAAAAAAATGATAAAAGAGCGTAGCATGATATGAGATGTTTCGTAAGGGAGAAAAAAAAAAAGGGTTGGATGGGGGTAGAGGGGCCAGGGCCCTGTAGAGGTCTACCTGGGTCCGCCCCTGTGTATAATAATAACTATTATGTATATTAAGTAGTTACTCTTTGCTATTATAAAATTTATCAGAAGACAGTAGCGATGTTCATTGTACATGTTTTTGGGCAGAAAATTTCCCACCTTAATGATCTCTAGTTTTGTTTTTGTTTTTTTTTTTTTTTACATGTTTTTCACTTGGCAGCCACATGTGAGTATGTGTAACTATAACATCCACATATGCAAAAAAATAGGAAATATGGTAAAAAAATAAACGGACACACTTGATTAAAAAAAATTTACAAGATGGGTCACTTAGTTAACAAAAATTAAAAAATATACATTTGATTAAAAGAAATTTACAAGATGAGTCACTTAATTAACAAAAATTAAAAAATACACACTTGATTAAAAAAATTAACAAGTTAGTATACTGAAATTCATATTTTATACGTGAAAGATTCTGTTTTTTTGGTTAAAATAAAATAAACTTTTAGAATTCAAATTATCCGTAAAAATAAAAACAATTAAACGATCAAAGATACATATATCATCAGCACACATTTTAGGATGTTTTGGTGCTAAATAAATATTTTCCATGGCATGAATTCTATTAGAAAGGGAGGAGAAATATTCCCCACATGGCACTGCAAGTTTGCATCCTATCATACTATTGTATAAGAGTTTCCTTTCGGTTTCGCAATATTTCAATCGATGTTTTGTTAACTAAATTTTCAAGAATAAAAACCAAATATAAATGTTATAGTATTTCGGTTTTGGTTTTCATCTTTTTCTTTTTGAAAATCTGAAAAAAAAAAATAGAACGTACGAGAAGACGTATATGCCAGACCATCAATGTGACTAAATTCATCTCCGTTTGCTATTTAATTCAATTGGCTTGGATGAAGTTCTTTTAAACCTTTAAAAGTCTTTTCGTCGACTATTAGAGACCTCAAGGCTAAGAGCTTACTCAAGAACAACCTACTCTGATTCAATTGCAAAGATCACATTGCTACCATCAAGCTAAAGGCAAAAAAAATTAGATTAAGCAACAAGTAAGTCAACATGATATGGTAACAACGTCAAGTTTGTTTCTGAACAATTTCCAATTTCTCTTGAGCTTATTAACTCCGGTTAATCTAATTTGCTCCCCAGATCAATTCTTCTCTGCCTCTGAAGTCTCTGAAGATCGTTGCTATATATGCTAAATTGCTAATATGGACCAGAACTCACTGCTGAAAATGGAGCAGCCATCAAATTCAAGCCAAAGGCCAAGTGTTTCAGTTATTGGTCTATTTTCTGCTACTGGTAAATTTAACAATCTCTTGATGTTTCTTTGGTACATTATTGGTTTGGAAATGTAGCCATATAGGAATTAAGAAGGAACCTGCAAATTTATAGTCCAATCCTCCAAAGCGTACAAGAGTTGCCGCTGGTTGTGCATGTGGGCTCACAAGTTTAGCCCATTCCACATGCTCCAAAGCCTCTAGCCAGGGGCCCATAGCCCATTTAGAGTTTTTTATTAAAAAAATTCCGTTTAAACCGAAATTTCGGTTTTTAACAAAAAAAAAAAGAAAAAAAACAGAATTTTTGTCTGGTTTGATTTTTTTTTTTAATAATTTGGTTAATCGAAATTCTTTGAAACCAAACCATACGTTTGTTTAAGTTTCTTATAAATATCTAACAAAATTGCTTTATATATTTAGAAAATAAAAAAATATCTAATTTCTTATAAAACTAGATCTGATAATAATAATTTGTTTAAGTTTCGGTTAAAGCCGTACGTGAAAGCCGAGGATACCCGAATTTGAACTCTTAACTTAACTTAGAGCGCGTTTGGAGAAAAGGGAAGCGGTGGCTATTGGCTCCATGTGAAAAAAAGCAAGAAGCTCCGATACTCTTTTCTGCATCCAGAGTCACAGTTACAGCTACAGCAAGCTACCATTACAATCACAAGGAGACTCCAATCTCGATGCCAAACACACACTTAATATCTACTTGGAAGGACGTCTATCCACAAGAACTACATGTGAACAATGTTTTGGAAAGGGACCCATCGTCCCCGCACTCGTGTTGTCCTTTCATCCAGGTGTCGTTTCTTGGGTATTAAATTTTGCCGAGATAACTAATAGACAGAGAAATAATACCAACCACACGACATGTGTTTCTCTCTATTTTACGCGGGAGAATGGACCTCACGACACAATAATTACTTATATTTACTACATAATAAACGAAAATTATTTTTACCTGTAGCAATAAATATTTTAGTTTTTTTTTTTTTGCTAGCACCCTCTAGCCTTCTTCTCTAGCCTTCTTCCCCTCTCTTTTTTTCACTTGTTTACTGTTTATTTAAATAGCAAACGACTTGCTCTCTTTTTTTTTTTTTTTCTCTCTAAACACTGAATTTTTTTCTCATTTCCATTCATTTATTGTTCACATGAACAGTAAACAGCTATCCTCTTTTTCTTTTCTTTTTTTTCTAAACATTGAATTTTTGTTTTCATTTTTGTTTCTTAATAATATTGGATGTTAAAATTTTAAAAGAACCAATAATTAATTAAGTGTTAAAATTTTAAAAAAATCAATAATTTATTTCTTTTATTATTTATTCCTAAAATTTAAAAATACAAATAAGAAATAATTAAATATAAATTTTTTCATTAAAAAATTATAATTATTTTTTACCATAAAACATATTATTAAACTAAAATAATTTTTCTAAATGATTTTATATATTTTATCAATCCGCAATGTAGCGCGGGTTAAAAATCTAGTTTAACCTAAAATTATTATAGTTATTTTATGTATGTCTATCTCTTGACAAGTAGGCTCATAAAGTAATTAATGTATAATTATTTTTGGAGTATTATAAAATTTCTCTCTCTATATGCATATTAACCGAAGCTACCTTCTATAAACTAATGTCTTAACTTTATGATCATACCTAATGTTAAATGTTACTTCGAGGAAACCCCAAATCCCAAGCTTGCAAAGACATTGTAAAACCTAGCAAAATTCTCGACTTTTCGAACTTTTAGAGAATCCTATATATGTGAATTAATTTTTAACTTTTACTTATGATTTCCTAAACCCAAAAAAAAAAAAAAAAAAAATTGAATTTTAACTAATTTGTGCTTTCGTTACGTAAATTTAGAGTGATTGAAATTGTATTCCTTTCAAGTCGTGCATGTTATGTGATGTATGTGCAAGTGATTGAGACCTCTTAACTGACTATGAAGTATATAAATTTATGTGATACTAAGGTGTTATGCTTTTACATAAGTAGGCTTAGCCTAGCAGTTGTGTATCCAACTAACTTTTATAATGAAATAAGGTTCGAGTCCCGGTGACTCCAGTTTCTTTCATGATTATGATGTAATAGGAAGGGCTACCTCTATTGTGTAACCTAATACGTCCATTGGGCCTTCAATGAATAATAAAAAAAAAGTGTTGTGTTTCGACTTGGGACATAATGAGAGAAAATATAAATGCTTTGCATTGTTAGGCGGTCTAACTTTTTATAACTTAACAAAAAAAATGTCCACCATAAAAAAAAGGTGAAATAAATCAACCCTTCTCTATCAAGCTAGAGAGATATAAAGTAAATTTTTTTGAGAATGTGACAAATTATGTTATCGAAGTGTAGATTGTTTTGGTTTTTTTTGGAAAATCAATTAGAATATGAATAGAGCCATGTAATCGATGGTAAAAAAAATTATTAAGTAGAAACAAAAAAATTATAGCCAAACAAGATAATCTTCATGTCTATCTACTCCTTAACCAAATTATTATCAACTATATTACTATTTTTTTAATTTAAATGAGAGTTATAGTTCTAAACAAACTAGTTCTTGTTGCATATTTTAAGAGTTACAACTCCACAAATATCTTTTAAAAGAAGGCTAATACCCGTTGGAAGTGGTGAGAAAATATGAAATTCTTAACGAAAGGCTATAGTTGTCTTGAGAAACAAGCTAATTGGTTGTACAATTTACCTCTCTATAGGTGTGAGACACACAAACCATTCATAGTATTTGGAATATCTTACAAATAGTGTAAACAAGATGATTGTAAACACCTCGACTACCATCATTAGGATGTAATAACTAGACTATCATCATGAAGTCAATTTCGAAAATATCATGTATGTAGTCTAAATTCCACTTTAATTTTAAAGCAACAAGGATGTCCTAAAGTTCGAGCATATAGGACCGAGCAAACACCAATGTGATAAAAGAAACCATGAAACTAGATATCTATATTATCATGACTAACGCCCCTTGTTGTAGAAGTGCCAACTAAATTTTAGAGGGTTTTATCAATATTGAGTTTGATCCAATCGGGTGATAGTTTTAGCCAACCTATTAGAGTCTCATGTTTAATGCATTTTGGTTTCCCATGAGGAACAACATCTACTATACTAGCTGCAATTTGGTTAATGTATGAGAAAATCACATCTAAAAGTTTTTAAGGGTATGTAAAACCCTCTTCAAATAAGCTTTTGTTACACCAAGATCATAACAACCAACAATAAGTCCCGAACCATATACTCTATGACACAACTCTAGATTTTGGTATCCGAGTGCTTTAAGGATAAGACTAGAACCAATCTCGAAGATTGAAAACTAAAAAGTTATGGTTTACTTGAGGTGCCCTACAAAAAGTCTAAATGGAACTAATAAATGAATAATCTTTGAATACATACGGAATATTTTCTAACCTAAAATGGCACCGAGGGTAAGAGGCATCCAAGTGAAAGACCCATATGGTGAAATTGTTCATTGGTCAATAGTTTTCCATAGATTGCCAACCACATAAAACAATATGATTCTCTAAAGACCTTTCCATTGCCAAATTAAGTTCTATTTACCTATTGAATTGGTTGTTGCTTAGGGGATGATGGACATATAGGTTGATTTGGTAGAGAAAACACTATTGCTCTTGAGGGTCTAACATAACATATCCTTAGTCTTATTGTCTAAATAGGGGAGCATTCCTATATACTCTAACAAATCTAACTATGTAGGAATGAAGTGATCTTATACCACCTCTAACGCCTAGCAGTAGTAATATAATCCTTAACATATTATAGCTTGTCGAGTTGGAATAATGTGAGTGGCATGATCACATAGAAGACCCAAGTCGAGCACCCAAGCATCGACCAAAATCTAATTCAGCTATCATCTTCAATTGACTAACCAATGTCGCCATATACTTCCTTCTAAATCTTAGAAAGGCATCCCCATAAGTTAGAAGAACCATTACGAGAGATAGGTGTTAGTGTCAACTATGTAAACATCCTATATTTACTACATAATTTTTTTGCCCAAAAAGATTAACTATTTAAAATAATTTCCCACCTAATCTTCATAAGTAAGATAGTATTGACATCAACTAGCTTTCTTAACCTAGGATCATTCTTTTTTTTTTTAACCGATAAACCTTATCCTATGAAACAAGGTGGATTTTTTTTGCATTCATCAAAGCTTTCTCACATAAAATTATAACATATTTTCTCGGTGACAGTAACTATAGTAGTAGAAAACCTAATGATTTGTATGTTATAGATAGGAATGGTTGACATTATAAATTAGGTCAAGGTGACCCTACCCATCAAAGAGAGATGTCATGATCGTCATCCTAATAATATCTTGCTTAATTTATCCACCACATACTTATATGTAGACATTTATAACTCAACTATGATGGAGAGGAACTCCTAAAATAACAATCCAAATCATTAGTTAAGCAAAAATCTGAATTTTGATTGAGAATTTTGGCTTTGCCGGTTGAAATATTTGCATTGCAAAATATTTTTATCTTTGCCACATGTACTTTCCGACTAGAAATGGAGTAAAATTTTTGAAGAACATCCTCAATACCCTTAAGTTGTTTAGTTTCGGCTTCGAGCATACAGGATTAAATTATTAGCAAAGAAAAAATGAGAAATAGTCGGCTAATCTTTGCTAAGAAAAATTTATTTCCAATTACCATTATGCACTTTAATTTAGATTAACCGACTGAGACATTCTATAAATTAAACAATGAGGTCGAGTGATAACGGGGTCACCTTGTCGAATTCCTCTTGTAGGATTGAAAGGGGTTGTAGTCATGCCATTAAATGAATGTGAAAATAGGCAAAAGAAGGGCACTTCATAATAGTCGACATAACCGATGAGATAACCCCACATCCATCAAGGTATCTAGCATAAAATCCTATCGAAGTTGGTCATATGCTTTTTTAAAATCAAATTTAATGGTAATTTATCCATTTTTTTTTCTTTTTACTTAAGCATAAAGTGAATAACCTCTTAAGTAATGATGATATTATCAATTATTTCTCTAATAGGAACATAGCTAACTTGAGTAAGAGTAATAATAGAAGGAGGGATTAACAATTAATAATAACCTTTATGAGCACTTTATAGTCGACATTCCACAATTTAATAGGATAAAATTGAGTACCTGTCTCTAGCACCTCCACTTTTGGAATCGGATA